GTTTATTTGATTCAAAAAGGAACAAAGTAATTCAGTACTCTAGTAGTAAGTAGTAGTAGTAGTAAGAAATTCAGTCTTATTCAAAGTTGTTCAATTGGAACGTACATAGATATGTACAGTATCGGTCATATCTATAGCACACCATTTCAAAATAATATTGTTTGCCACTTATGTAAATAAATAAATAAACATAAGTGACACACAATATCACTTTGAAATAGCGTGCTATAGGTATGACCGATACTGAAGGTAATTAAAAAAATTATGGGAATCACGAGAAGTAGTAACGTGTTGAATCATACAATGTTACAGCTGCTTAAAAGTTTAGTTTTTAATTCATGAAATTACATATATGTATGATTTTTAGACGTTATTAAACGTTATAACATCTTGTGGATCCCTTTACAGTATTTACATATTTTGGTTTGTAGGCTTTAACAGAATATAAAATAAGTTCAAGTGATTTTCTCTTTCTGGTCCAACGCAGTGCTGGACAAATTATAATTGTATTGTAATTTATAGAATTTATACCAAATTCTACAATACAAATACAAATAGTTTATATCATGATAAAAATATTAAAAGGTAAATTCATTCTCTCAATTCGTCGGCCATGATTTTTTTCTGACGTTTGCCAACATTTTAAAATCATATAAAATTGAAAATAAATTGTTCACAATTGTTGTTGTTTGAGATTGAAAATGAGAATGTCAGTTTGAATTTTGATTTTAAAATTATATTGTTGGCAAACGTCAGACTGCCTCTCAATGGGTTGCCTTGTTATGTTTTAAACTTTGTTTGTAATATAAATATATAATATATATATATAATATAATATATAATATATATAATATAATATATAATATATATATATATAATATTATTATCGAATGAATCCTATTATTATAAAAATGGATTCAAGTTAAAAAGAAATAAATAAATGGTCAACTGTCGTATAATTGCAAACGCTAGTTATACGCCTANAAATGGATTCAAGTTAAAAAGAAATAAATAAATGGTCAACTGTCGTATAATTGCAAACGCTAGTTATGCGCCTAAATCTATAAATGTGTTTTTGCCAATGCCACGATTGGTGCAACGGTCGACTCATCTGGCAATACAAAATCACCGGCAGCAACGTCAAAGTGGGTATAATTGTATGGCTTGGGGAATGTTTGTACAGGTACAGGTTTGTCAAGGCTGAAAAAAGATGTGTATATTTTTCAGCATTTAATCGCTAATTATTCGAATTTGCTTACTTAAACCGAATGTTCTGTTGGTGCCGTTGTTGCTGTTCAAGTTGCTCCGAAATTCGAACCACTAGCAAGAGCAGTGTTTCCGAACACGCCGTATAAAGGTGATGTGGATTTGGCCGTCAATGGCATAGATATGGTGATGGAGAAAAGGCAGTTGTTGTAAATAAGCGAAGGGCGCCGGTGAAAATGTTATTTGGCGAAACGTTGGGCCGGAAACGAAAGACACTTGCAATCATTTTACATCCATTTGCAGAAGTCTGCAAACCAAGAGCTAAAAAGTATATATTATAACTTTATGGATAATAAGTAGCATATACAATTCAAACCTGATTTTATAAGTATATCTCGCACACCCACAGCTTTAAGCTGGTTTGTTTTCAGTCAAACATTTTTCCATAAGGCTTTCGATTCTTGTAACTTTCTCCATTCTTTCCTTGTGTCGCTTCTCCCTGGCTTCCTCTTTCCTAGCAGCAATTTCAACTAGAGTTTCTTGCATCGTTTTTTTCTTTCTTTGCTTTTCTTTTGGTGAGACCTCTTTTTAACTACACAGTGGCAACTCAGTTTTATTGCCGGCTCAATGGAATCATCCAGTTTGCAAATTTTTTCTAGCTCTTCTTCAAACTGCAGCTTTTGGCGTTTTGCACCTGAGCTGCTGTTGTTTTCCACTGCCGCCTTTTTTCGTATCATGATGGTCTTATACCTTTCTTCACACTGCTTCCAACTTTTCCCGTCGAACTCAGCGCCAATCTTCATCCACATTTCCTTCTTTGTCTTTAACTGCTTGAAGGGCCCAACGTCCGGCGAAAAGGAAGCGTACTTATCCAGCAAGAGTCTCGTTTCGCCTTTCGTCCATACTGCAAAAAAGCGTTTTTTAAAGGTTTAGCATTTTCGGCTTTTACTTTTCTATCAAAACATTCTCATATTACCTGTAACTATTTTGCTGCAATTGGGACTTTCTTCTTTAGCTTGCATTATTTTGTATTTATTAATTTTCAATTGGACACCAAAATTTCTTTAAATTGCACTCCGTTTAGCGCGCGAAAAAAAAGCTGATTGCATTTCAGGGTTGCAGTTTGTGATCCTTTGTAAGTGTGAAGGGCTACACTGAACCTTAAGCGGGGTGCCAAATTCACAGGGTGAAGTGCACCTTTAAAAGACTTTCGTACCTCGGTATGGCAACATATTCGTGTAGAAAAGAAAACGCTATAAGATTCGAAATAGGATGAGATAGGAAAGCCTTAATTCAATAGTTCGAATAAAGTGTTATATGAATGCTGATAGTTTCTGCTGCAAAACTTTTCCAATATCAAACAGTATGTTATCAAGGTTGAATAGCTGAATATATGACAACAACAGGTGGACACTATAGGTGGTTTTGAAGAAATTGTGAAAATATTTAGCTGATCTCGCCTTATAATAGGTTTTTATTTAATATTTAGCGCCAAGCTTTTAAAAACGGTGTTTAAGCCACTTATGCATTTCCCGCATAAACAAAGAACAGCGAACACACACACGCCCTTGTATATTGCACTCCCGCCCAAAACCAAATGCAGCGAATAAACACACGCACTTGCGCTTAAAAATAATTCGTTCGTTCTTCATTGGGTATGCATTTTTTAATGCACTTCTCAACTGCCGCAAAACAAAACCTACTAAAGTAGTTAATTGCTGGCACTCCAAATTATGCTCAACAATCCCGCTTGATGCATCACCACTCCTCCGGAGTGGTTTTAAACAGCAAAAGCCTAAGCGCTACAAGCTGTTGGGGCTCTGTATGACTTTCAGCATACAGAGGTGGTACAAGAGCTACCATTGGCCAAAGCGCCTACCCAATTTTTGAACTTGAATCAATAACCANAGCCGCGAGTATCCGGCTCGAAGGACCATAGCAACGCGAGGAGGATTTTCTTCGCTTTCGATTAAATAAAACCACTCGCGTTTTATATTTAAAACGTTATAATGTCTATTTATTATTTTAATAATTAAAATATTTATAAGGACGTATGTATATTTATTTCCGTCCAACTTTCCAAAGTCTACCGTATCACCGCGCGCACCCGGGAAACGGCCACCGGAAAGTTGGACGGAAATAAATATACATATGTCCTTATAAATATTTTAATTATTAAAATAATAGACATTATAACGTTTTAAATATAAAACGCGAGTGGTTTTATTTAATCAAAAGCGAAGAAAATCCTCCTCGCGTTGCT